ACACAGCTTTTTATAGAGCTGTGGGAGTTAGTTCTTTAAGGGATCCACTGAACTTCTAGTGGTCCTGGACCTCCAAACAGGACCACTGAATGGAGAGGAAATTAAGGGATCAGTGGAATCAAACCCCCAATCAAGCCCAGGGCCTCACACATACTGGGCAAGTGCTCTACCACTGAGTCACACCCCAGCACTCTTAAAAAGTTTTCTTAATCATTCTTTTCTCACAGTATCCTAGACATGTCAATATAAAAGAGTGCATCTTTCATGTCATGCTGAGATTGAAAGTACTGCGCTGTGGCAGTGTGATGGATCAACCTTCTCATGACAACTCTTCTACTGCAACACCTAAGTCTGAATAATGAGCCATTCCACGGCTGAGTCAAGAACAAACCAAAGGCAGCCAGAGTAACGCACAACTATTACCAGAAGCTGTCTCTGCTTCCTGAGGGTGAATACAATTGTCTGGCAACTGAACAGCTTTGCTATCCTTAGGTAAGCTTATGCTTTTTGAAATGATCTTTCATTGCAGAGTTTCTAACATAATACCAAGAATAAAATACCAGTTTTTTTCATCCTGTTCCACATATCACTTTTAGGTTCTATTTGCCCTTACCAATGTCTTAGAAAAACCTACATTCTATTTTATTGACGTCTGCACATCAGAATAGGCAGCCTAATCTTCTTAAACCCTAATATGTCAGTTTAAAATTACCAACTTGAATTTATGCCAGCCTAAACTCATTTCTTAGAAATGTAGATCACTTTTTTAAATAAAAAGATTAACGATTTTATAATTACTTTAAACAATTCAAGGATCATAAATTGCACATATTTAGAAGAATAAAGTATGTATTTAAAAAATTCACCATTTTTTATAACAAATGGTGGCAAGAATGTGGAAAAAAATAAAGCCTAGTACATGCTTGGTGAGTCAATTATGCCATCCTGCCTCCTGGACTGGCAGAATAATGACTCAGAATAAACTGAAGAGACTTTTAACAATAAACGGCTTCATGAATATTCTTTAAAATACATCCACAGACTTAAGTCATTTCACCCCAGTGTGTACACTTCAATATTTCAAGTGGAAAACAAAGGAGAGATGCATATAAATACTATGAAAATGCCTACCTTTTCACAATATAAAAAATGCAAAGTAGAAGATTTCTGAAGCAACGGTACAACGGAGGCTTATCCAAAACAAAAAGGCCTGCTTTTCAAACCCACGTAGGTCCTGTGTAACGCAAACTAGTGAATGCAACCAGTGCCTAGCCTGTAATCATTAAATGGAAAGGTGGCAGAGCAAGTTGGCTCTGAGGAACAGGAATCAGCTGCCTGGGATCTGATCCTGGCTCTCCTACTAAGTAGGTGAGTCACTTAATCTCTGTGCCTCAGTTTCTTCATTTTACAATAAAGACCATAAAATAATTAAACTTATTTCAAATGAAATTCAATAGGAAATATTAAATTAGTGTCAGTAATTTAAATTATTAAAACAGAGCACTAAAGATTGAGTGCTAAGTCAATTTTCAACAAATGCTCTCATGCACTAAAATTAAAATGTATTGACACTTTTACTGATATAATGTGTAAGATGTACCTAAAACACACCAACAAAAACTAAATAGTACATAAAGTGTGCAGAGGAAGGAAACCGATAGAACAGAATGGCAGAATGTTAATCACTTGAAGCTAGCTATAGGTACACAGAGATCCAGACATCAGTCTCTCCATTTTTGTGTACGGTGAAATTTTCCAAAGTAAAGATTCTCAGGAATAACTGTGCTATTTCGAAGAGTAAGGGGCTGAGACTCCACAACTGTTTTAAGTTTTGTGAAAAAATAATTTAATTTCCACTTTAGCAAAACATATCTTGTATTCCTCTGATTCTAGTAATGACAGTAAAAATGCCTATTATACACCTTAAACATGGACATATAACATCAGGTAAGACAAAGGTTTACACAAATATCACTGCACAGTATTTTGATATAACAACTGTAACATTTGAGTCTCCATCTTAGAAACAAAAGCTATGAATTAAGAGTATTTAATAATCAACTAGATGCACAAGCCTGATCATTAGTACTAACAGCTGTAAGATAATAAATTTACTTCTTGGGATTTTACGTACATCTACTTGCTCAGTTACCACCCTGTAGAAAGGGGGGAGAGGAGCATGCATGCGGGCTTTCTCCATAATCAGAAAGACAAATCTACTATTGCTAAAGAGCCACTCTCTGCAGTTCTGGCTTGAAAAGTGAAAGCTAAGACGAAAAGGGAAGAGCCGTTTACTGTCTTCATACTTACAACAGCACCCCTTGGCCCTATAGCTGTCATTTGCTAGAAAAGGACCACCATTTCTTTCACATTTCTGCTACTGCTCATTGGTACAGAAAGAAGGCTGTGTGTGTGTGTGTGTGTGTGTGTCTGTGTGCGTGTGGGGAGCACGTGTTCTATCACTGAGCTATCTCCCTGGTCCTTAAGACACTATTTTACCAGAAATAATACTAATAAATACAAACTGATCTTTATTCTTTGATTAAATATATACAGGGAACTGCTGTAAAGTTGAAAAACCACAATATGAATCTCAAACTATCTCAATTCTGTACCAGTCATAAATAAATCTTCTAACTCTAAAAAAATGACTTAGGATTATGTGGAAAGAAAAAAAATTATTCTTTAATCTTAATAGAAATATTATGACTTTAAATAACATCTTAAAATATGCTCAAGGTTTTTTGTACAGGTATTAAATCATCAGGTATTAAATTTTAAGATATACAGATTGCCTGGACTAAATTAGTTTGAAAAAACATTCTAAAATATTATTTTTTAAGTAACTGTTTCTGCAAAGAGCTCATTTATGTACTACAAACATACCTAATTTGACTATTATCTCCTCAAACTATAAACTACATTAAAAGTAACAGATCAGGATGAAGTTGATGAAACAGAGAAAAAAGGACTGGGAATTAATTTCCCTCTGCCAACAATTTCTGTCACAAACATTCTCCTCATTGAGTTAACTGAAAATTAAATATATACAGAAGAAACATTTACAATGTTTTTCTTAAAAACTGGACACTATAACCTCCAGCACTAAATTTTATACAGAATGAATCTGAATGTAATCACCGTATGAACACGTTTCCAGAGAAATCACTAGGAATCAAGGCTTCTATGAAATAAAATGGACAAAATAAGAAAATGAGTGTTATCGCAATCTATTTCTTCTTTTTTTTTTCTATTTTTTTTCTATTTCTTCTTGAAGAACACATACAGTCCCATTTTATAGAAATGAAAAATGACAAGTTAAAAACATTAATGAACATGGCCTTTCATAAGATTAGAACTTCTAACAGAAATATCTTTCCATAATTTTAGTATCAACAATATTTTTGTTAATTCTTAAAAATAATCTCTTTGACAAAGAGGTTCTTATATGTGAATGATAACAATTCACAATGGAGAGCTCCCTCACAGCCCCCAAAATGACAATGATATATTTATACATCAGAAAAACTAAAATTTTTTTTTTTACTAAGTCAGAGAATTGCACATATAACAGCAATTGCAATTCCAGACTATATCAATACTCTAATATAAAATTACAACTACAAAACAACATCTGAGGGCCGGGGATTTAGCTCAGTGGTTTCGCCGCCTGCTACGCAAGCGCAAGCGCAA